CTTCTCTCTACTCTCCAAGAACTCTTTCGTATTAAAAAGCCCACTATGAGTGACGAACTCACTTTCTCTTTCTACTTGAGATCTAGTGAACGCCAGTGATGTATTTATGAGATTGATTTAGTTTAATATATGCTCTATTCAAATTTCAGTATTTATTTATCTTCTACATCTATGCATATTTGTTATCTTGAGCACATTTAAATAGGGCTCATTGGACATTGGATAGGTGGCAAGCAGTTAACCGACCCCCTCAAATTCATAATTATTTGAGTGATTCCGGTACCAAGTAAGGTCAGTGTCGCACTAAGAAGGTAAGTAATCTTGTTGATCAATCACGCGTGGGAATTCGACAACTTGAATCAAGTCCTTTTAGCTTTCAAGATTGTTGACAAGTTAAGTCCTGTGGATGTTCCTAAGACTACTTGACAGCAAAGAACCAACTAACAAACGTTTCTTAGTTGGTCTACGAATAAAGAAGGATTGGTTGTCAGAATGTTTCTGACAATTATAATGAATTTCTCATATTTTGGGTAAAACAAATCCTTACATCTATGATCAATTACATTACTGGAGCTAAATATTTTATCAACTAGGAATTCTTCTTATAATTGTTTTAGTTTCTAAATTACAGCCAAGAGTTTGTTTAATATTATTTTACTCATTGTTTATTTTATATTTTGCGTATTAGATTCTACAAAACCCTCCCTGTTTACTTTTTATTTATTGGTCTAGGAAGAAAATTAGTTTCCAATTCCTTGTAGATTCGAGCCTTCTTACCACTACTACATATTGTTATATTGATTAATTAGGGATTTATTTTTGGTATATTCGACACCCATCAAAAGCCTATATAAAGGACTCACCTTAAGCTTTAAAAAATAACATTTAGTTGATAAATAAAATTATTTAATTTGTTTCTAAATTAGTTTTACTAATTTTGAGAGTGAGTATTCTTCAAAGGAGATTACTTCAACCATCTTGTTGAGCTAGAGAATCTGAATCAGCATATCAAGTAAGCTATAACATCTTTTCTATTCCTTTTTATTTTTCCAGTTACCTTGACTTGCCTTCATGCTAAGTATAGTGCATTCATGATCAAGGTGTTTTGGATCCTGGAGCTCCCCTCATTTTCACTCTACTTTTTGTATTTTAAAAATGCATGTGACATGAAATTTGTTACTCATTTCATTTATACTATCTATGTTTTGAAACGACATGTGATGATTTGATGCGAAGCATTTCTTCACATCACATGAAAATTTGTAGAAATTTAAAGACATTCACTATAGAGCATTTAATGGATAGATATGAGGTCTTCTTCTCTCTAATGTCTATCTACGAGTTAGATATATAAATTTCTTCTACCTACAATATTTCCTAGAGATCTTTTAGAAATTTTTTTTTTTTTTGAAAAATCATAAGAAAAATCAAAACTTTCCTTTTGAGTTAAACTTGAATTCCCAAGTGAATTTTATCTTGTATAATCACTATTTTTATATAAATCTGAACTTTTTCTTATAAGTTCTTAGATATTGCAAATGATAAGTGAAAAATCCTCTTGTGTAATTTAGTGTGAAAAACAAGTCTAAGGTAAAGTTAAAAACCTCATAAATTAGCATTTTGTAAGAAGTTGTTAAATAATAGTAGAAATATCAAGTTGTGGACTTAGGAAAGGATGTAAGCACAAGTTGGGTGGTAAAACTTCCATAAAATAGTGGTTGAAATCTTTCTACCCTTATGTCATTTACTTTCATCCATTTATTATTTATTGTAAGCATTAAATACTTGCACATTTCGTTCATACTTATTAATTTAAAAATTGTTAAAATTTCAAAAAGTTATTCACATTTTTTCTTGGGTTGCTTAAGATATGGCCAATAACATCCATGAGAAAATGATAAATAAAAATAAAAACTTATAAATGGAATACGGAAAATATAGGTGAACAGTGTCCATGTAAAAAACTTTTATGTTGAAGTCATCTTTTTATTGAATTCAATACATCTTAAGAAAAGAAAGACAGTAGAAAGTTAGAATTATATACTGTTATGAGATGATGCAGGCATAGCATGATTGAGGGACCCATTGAAGAAAACTTTAATTATCTAACTCACTTTTTCTCTCTATTTATCTATTATGCACAAAATTTTGTAATTTTAGCTGATGGAAGACACTTTGAAAGGAGAATTTGTGCTCTTTTTATAGATAAGAGGAGAGACCAAAGCTCATTCAAGATAATTAAATATATTGATAACGTTTTTTATTATTGTAGATTAATACTCATAAAATACAATAATTCTATAATTTATTTTAAGGTTACCTACTCCATCAAGATATCTTTTTCTTTATAATGGTTATCTATTATTTTGGATATCCATTAAGTTGGCTTCAACTGTTATAAGTGAATAAGAAAATAAAATACTAGGTTAGTGGGTCATCTACTTAATTGTTGAAATTAACAGCCCATGCAACATTAAAACTATATGCAATTCTTGTCCATGTTAATCATGTCGGTATGCAAATAAATTTAGTGTAAGAATATAAATATTTCTTCTTCATTACTCTCATAAACACAAAAAATCTATTCTAGTTGACCATAGAAAACACATGATTCTTACTTTTTCACTGCCATAAATAAATACACACTTACTTTTATAATAATCATCCAAATATTCACACCATATGAATATAAAATTTGAGAAAACCCATTGCAAAAAAAAAAAATTAAAGGTAGTAAAGCACTAAAATTTCCTTTTAAATCTTGAGGGAAAAAATAAAGTTTATGGTATGAGAATACAAAACTTAAATTGGCATGTGCATTCTCTTATCAACAGTAGGTTTGACTTTCATTTTCCTTTTACCCTCTATTTGGATGATGGTAAAATGTGGTTAATTAATGTAGGGTATGGTAGTGGGATGGCAAAATTATATTTATTTACTGATGGTATGGTTACCTTAGGATTTTTGATAGTATTTTAAAAACAAAATTTGGGCAACTTTTTAAAACCACCGATTTGGTGGTTTTTGACGAGTTAACATTTTTGTTCCATTTATACCCTCGTTAAATTTTCATAATTTTCATTTTATCCTCGAAAAAACCTTTCTCAGCAGCCCAACCTACTTTTTTCTTTTCTTTTCTTCATCTTAATCTGTTTCTTTATAGATTTTTTAATTTATAATTATAAATTAAAAAGGGTAGTTGTAAATTAATTTTTTATACTAACTATAGAAAATAA